AAATATAATATATATATCAATATGAATATGTGTATATATATTAACGTCTAAAAAAAAAAAAAAAAAACAAAGAAAAAAAAGAAAAAAAAAGACATAATTATATAAATAAAATTAATAATAATAAAATATATATTAATATAAAAAAAAACAAATACATATATAAACATATAATAAAATAAAACATTATATATAAACTATATAAATATATAATAATAATAAATAATATTAAATAATAAGATGTATAATATGTAAAATATAGATAATAAGATATGTATGTATAAAATAAAAAAAAAATAAAAAGTTAATAAATATATAAATATACTAATTATTGTTTATATTATATATACACATATCACACATATATATGAGTGTTATATATAATGTATATAATATAAAAATAAAAAGTATAAAAAAATATAATAATGTGTATATAAAATAAAAATATAAACAAACATAATATATATTAAATATATAAATAAAAATTATATATAAATAATATATAAAAATAATAATAATAACAATAACATATATACAATCTATAATATATACATATATACAAATCTACTAATTATATATATATATATATATATATATAATTATATATATATACACTATATATATATATATATATAATAAATAACTAAAAAATATAATACATTATACAATAATATACATTAATAAATAAAATGATTAATTATAATTAATACACATTAAATACAATTATTATATGTATATAATATACATAAATATATGTACACATATAATATATAATATATAATATATATAGATATACATATAAATAGTATACATATAATATATATAATAAATATATAATAAATTGATGAATAATATAAACAATAAACACTATACATAAGCATAGTATATTATCCATTATACTACATAATATATAATACTATACAATTATATAATATCATCAAATTATATATATTAACCAATATATATAATACATTATATAATAATATAATATATACATAATATAATACATCATAAATAATAATAATAGTGTATAAAGATATAATATACACATTATACATATAACCATAAACACTATATACTTTATATACATAATATAACATGAGTATACATAATAACTGAAAGATAAGAAATAAAGGGACGGCAGGAAAAAAATCTCGATATTAGATATAAACAGTTCCAAACCAGCGTATTTTCTACCAGTTTTGTGATCTATTGTTGCCAGCCGCGTGCACCATATATGTATATATATATGTATAATATATAGTGTATGAATAACATATAATACCATATAATACATATAAAATGTAATATATAATTAAATATATACATATATTATATCATATAGTACATATTATAATTTTTATTATATATATAACATATATACAATATACATTATACTCATATATATAAGCTATAATATATAAATATACAATAATACACACTATACTACATACTACATATACCATATACATATACATAACATATATAGGTACTATATTATATTATATAAGTATATATTATATTATACATATATATAATGTTATATTATTATATTATATATTATTAATTATATATCATATATTATATATAATATATATATATAAGTATAATAATATAAATACCTTATATAATTATATAATATATCATATATATCATATATATATTTAACTATAGATATGATGAAGAAGCCGAAGCTGAGTAGTAACTGATCTAGTAACTAGTTTTATTGAAGAAACTAGCACCATTTTGTCAATTGTGTAGTGGATAAGTCTCCACATAGTCTCATATTGTGTGATCCCCTTTTTGTCTCGTTTTAATTTTTAATGCTTGGAGAAGCATGTTACCACGTTTTGGTGAAGGATTAGTTTATTATTATGGACACAAGTATAAAAAATTATTTTTGGAATTGTCATCTTTTGCATTTGTGCCAATGGTTATTTTCTTGACATTTCTGGTGCGATTTATGATTTACAATTAAATAAATTTATCAAATGTGCAGATCCATATTTCCCCAGATTATATAATATTTTAATTGCAAAAAGAATAGCAGATGGACTATATAATCTATCCTATTATAGATTTTGCAATGTTTATCCCTGTTAAACCTATAGTAGATTACATTTTAATGTGAACCATGGTATACTGTGCTGCCTGTTATGACTTGAATCAAAGAATATTGATGTGAATATTGTTTGATTTAAGATGCCTTTGCACGTGGATTAGTTTTTTCTTCTTTGTGAGGTAATAATCTAATTATGTTAAAATTATGAAAATGTGATATATATATATATATATATATATAATATATCCATATTATATATTATATATATATATATATTTACACAACATACCCACTATATAATATATAGTTCCACTACATTACACTCATATATCATACACACACATTTCAATACATTCATCACATCATATACATAAAACTCCATAAACATATCCAAGATCAGCATATGCATACAATATGCACATGCAATTACATATTACATAT